AAAGAATATTAAAATGGTATTTGTAAAATATATGCCATATCCTAAAGGAAATGGCATTGTTTAGCACAAAGGTAGAAGACAAGTATCAGATATTTCCATAATGTTAAAAATAAGATTCTATATCTTCCTACTTTCGAAAGTAAGTAGTCAATGTTCTATCTTCACTGAGATTCAGTCCCTTTCCTAATTGAGAAACACCTAAAATATGATAAACTATCAAAACCATTGATTCTGCTACTAATGCAGCTTTTAAAGGACTGCTTGTTTGAAGAACAGAGTTTGTGAGCCTATGTTAAGGTATAAGAAGTAGCAGATTATTTCAGATTTGTATTGGACAGTAAAGCATTTTCTTATGATGCATAAAAAATGTTAATGTGTGAGCATTTCCTATCTTTCCTCCGTCCCCCCACCTGCTCTATTTCCCTCCTCGTCCCACTCCCAGAAAACAGAAGAATTTTGACTGGCTGAGAGACAAACTAAGTCAATTTACCAAAAAAAAAACAAAAAACAAAAAAGGCGTAAGAGGCAGATGGGGACAGAGACTAAGATGCTGAGCAAGATAGAGACGAGAGAGGACCTTTGTGTGTAGTGTTGGAGAAGTGTGGAGAGAGCAAAAGAACTGGATAATAAAGAAAACGGGAGATTGTGAAGTGGTATATTGGATTATGAATAAAGCCCCTTTGATGATATCTGAGACATACAAGGACAGAATTTGAGTTATGCTTAAATTGCTTTTGCTGTTGGGCTGTGTTTCCTCTCCTTTGACAGGATGCTGAAACTAGACCACAGGGGTTCCTGGATTTATAAGGATTTTTCAGGTTATTCATGTGCATCAAAACCATCTTCATTTGCTGATGTTTACTGGGCACCTATGATGATTAAAACTGTGGTCAATTTAAATAAAACAAGATTCCTTGCCTCCAGGCTCCTGTGTTCTATTCTAAATAATCGTTCATAGAAAAGTAATCATTACAGAATGAATTGGTTGGATTTGTCATTTTTTACTCTCATAGATATTTCCCTGTAGGCTTTATAGGCTAGTTTTAGAAACAACTGTAACAGACAACATTTTCCATCATGGAGTAGTAGATTACATAGATAAGAGGAAAACGTTTTTATCATCAGTTGCTATCATTTACTTCTTACTAAACAAAAACAAGGACCTAGTGGTTGCATTGAATGTGGTATTTCTGAATTTATTTCTCTGTTTCTCCAACAAAGTAATGTCAGAAAACTAGTTAATAATAAATATTTTACTTAAGTAACTTTATCAGAATGCTATTAACAGTCATTTTATCTTGATATTTTCTTTTCCCCTTCTCGTGGCAACTAATGCATTTTCGTAAATCCATTAATTTTCAACAAGAATATTTATTCCATGTTGAATGACCAAGATACAACATTTTAATGTCTATAAATAATGAACTGGATAACTTATTTTATTTTTTCATTATTTGTGCATTTTCTGCACAAAGGTAGCAGGAAAGGGACTATTAGGAGTGAAGGTAAGACTACTGTAAAAAAGAGTGAAGAAATGTACCACAAAGTAGTAGAGGTTTCAGTGTCTTCTGTATCAAATCAATATGTCAGAAATCAATTTGTAGAAGTAAAAAGAATGATACAGAATTGGTAACTGACAGTTGCGCTAAAAAGACGTCATGGTCTAGGCCATGTTTTAATTAGCCTAAAGTCATGCTTAATAGCTGGCATTATTTTATTTTATTTTTTGTTTGCTCCCTAGTAGAAATTGGCCCTGAGATTTGCTTGGGGTTGTCCTTTTAGATTTTTGTTCATTGAAGACTAAAATTCAAGATTCTGTATTAGCTACTAGGATCCTCATCTAGTTTATTCTACCAAGAAATTTCTTCTACCACTGAATTTCTTTAATAATCCACGTATGCATAAAAAGACTTCTGGGGAGAGAAGCATACCATGTGCACAGCTATGTGAATTTCATTTTCTAGAGATGTCAAATTGAAAACATCTCAAATTACTGCAATAAAATTTCATCTTCTGGTAGTTCTACACCAGAGGTGAATAATTTGAGATAATACTGGATTGGGACAGCATGTCAGTGAACGTTGGTTCTAGGGAAGTTCTACTGAGCCCAAAATACAGTGAGTTTGTTTTATATAATGCTTGCTTTTATGGAGTAAATCTCTCTAAATGCAGTCCTTATGTGAACCTTACACTGTGCTGAGAAAACTTTACAGTCTATCGATTTATTCGTCATTTTTTTAACCTTAAACTATAAAATTACACGTGTCTTCAACCATCATTCATTTAGAGATATTGGAGTTGCCCATATTTTTTTATTGTGGTTTTAAGATCTCAGTTTCAGTTATCTTAAAAGAAATAAATCTTCTGTTCAGAGCTTAAGTCTCTTAAGACTTTCCTTGAGATTAACAGTCATGAAAGGAGTTAACTCATTTCAACATGATGCAATGTCTATTTTTATAGGGTATATATATTTTGAATGGGAAACATATCAAGCCCTATAATACTGGATTATCCAATCTAGCAATTCTTCTATTCGTATCTGACTATAGATTTTACTATATTTCACTTTTTTTCAGAGACTATATTGATAGGTATATTTATGAACATACGCTGTTATTTCAAGGTGGGGAAAATGTATTTTTACAAAGAAAGCCCAGTGCCATTGTCCCTTCTTTTTTAAGGCATTTTTTGACTTTCTTGAGTACTTTATATTGCACGTGCACATCTAACTGGTAAACTCCACAAGTTTTATCTATTATCATTGTCAAGTCCAAGATTATTGGAATATCTTGATGTTTATGAGACTCACCAAACCAACCAGGCCCAAGCCCCTGGGGTAGAATCAAGAGAAGTATCTGTAGTGACACTCGAGAGATGTGGATTCTAATACTAATCCAGCCATTTAAGAGCAACAACCTCCAACAAGTCGTTGACTATCTGATGCTCCATTTTCAAATTTGTTAAGTGAGCAAATAATTCCTATTTACAGGGCTGTTGAAAGAATTAAAGTGTGAAAAAGCTTGGACAGTGCCTAGTGTATATATAGCAAGTGTTCAATAAGTATTTGATCTGTCATTAAAGAGCTAAACTCCAGAAAAGGCAAATCTAGAACTCTGAAAAACCTCAAAGAGTAGTTGCAACTAGCCCAAAGGAGACCACATAATTCTAGAGAAGAAGAAACTCCTACAGAATATGCTCCAATATGTACATGACTGGACGTCTTATCTTATTTACCCAAACGGGATGCGTGATCCCTGGAAGAGAACTAGAGAGAGCTAGAGTGTGATAGAATGTGCTTCTTTTTAAATTTTTTGTTCTTATTATTTAAAAAATAATAATCAAATATATGATGCAGAAAAAGAAGGTCCTCGTAACATCTTACACCCACCTCCCTCCCCACACACACATCAAATTTAGAAAGATTCATTTAGAAAAATGATTCATTAGACCGTGTTATACCCATTATAAGGTACCCAACCCTGTGTACTGCCAAGAAGACTGAAACATTGTGGTCTCTACCAATGAATAGTTCCCAAAGAGCATGTTGAAAAGAAGTATTCTACTGGGTTTAATTTCACGGAAGCAGGTAGAATTTAGCAGATCTGGAAGAATATATAAGCCCTGTGATTTTTATAACTTAAAAATTACTCCTTCACCAATTTTGAAATTTAATTAAAATATTCTTTAAAGTTCTGCTAGTAAGCATAATGTCACATTTATTTCAAATGAAAGGATTTTAGAAGGAAGTAGGTAGCTTTTTGTTTTAAACGTTATTTTCTTTCATCTCTTGTACTGAAAATTGATACACATTTAGACATGCTTTGCTCTCACTTAAAGCTAAAATTTTGAGTTAGAATTGTGTTTACTGCCCTTGTCATTTCAAAGAAAGGTAAAAATATATATAATACTTTCAAATTGTAAAATATTCCAATTTTTGAGAATCTCTAAATGTCTAGAAACCCAAGTAGCTATAAATGTCATTATTGCGATGGAATGGGGTAAAATATAACATCTTATGAACCAGGATTATTTGAATGTGGTGTTGAATTTAAGGTTCGCTTTCTAGCTCCAGCTATCTAGTTATAAAATACTCTAAAAGCAGTAGAAATAGCAGGTGGGTCCATTCTACAGGAAAGCCTATCAATTCAATATTATTTTGACTAGCTTCCAGGTTAGTCTTCCATTAGGAGGAAATTGAGAACCAATGTAAAGGAAGTAAAATGAAGTCTTGGCAGTTTCACCAAGAGTTGAGAGCCAACAACTGTGGGATAAAAGTAGTGATGCCCAGACTCAGCCAGACAGAGCCTAATCTAATCCAATTCTAATCTGTTCTAAAACCCCAGACTATAATAGCCTATCATGACAAAAAATTAAAACAGAGAATCATGTTGTCTATTTGTTTGTATTTATAATATTTAATTAATTAGTTATATATGTAAAATTACTGATACAGCACAAATATTGCACAATGCTTATCAATGGATCTAATTTAAGATTGTGCTATGTACTTTGCTTGAATTCGGTTTAAAATGTTATTTCAAAGTTTTTTCTAAACTATAGTAAATTCCTCGAAAATGCACTGCTCCTACTTGTTTATGCTCATATGCTACACTTAAACGTTGGAATTTATTTGGCAAAAATTGGAAATTAATTGGATGGAATCAATAGGTAATGCTACAAATTATAACCAGGAACTGTTCTATTGAGGTTAACAATAAAAGATTATTATAAAATCTTTCTCAAAAGTCCTCACACAGTAATTCTGAAATGGAACATTTACTTTACTCTTGTATTTATAAATTTTCTTTACAAGAATTCTAACCACGTTACACTGGAACGAGTACACTTCAGATTTGTCTTCTTCATCTCATTGTTCAGTCATTGCTGCCCAGCCTGGAGTCTTAGAACAGTGTTTCAGAACTGCCTTTTGCAAAGTTGCTCTTCATTGCTGATCATTTCAAGAAATTAACTCAATCCGTGGTCTGTTTCTTTCCTGACAGAGAATTGAGCACTCATACGTGTACAGATGCAAACATAGGAATGTGACCGTGCCTGTGTGGGGGTATGGAAGTGCTAGCTGATGTGTGTACACATGCAGCTGCTTCTTTGCAACAGAGAATCTACATGAACCTAAACAAAACAGAAACTGAGAGTATCATGATTCACTGAGACATTTTTCAACTTAATTGCTGCTGAAAGAAAACTGCATAAAAAGAAAAGGCAAATGACATACTAAAATTGTGTCCTTATCTGAAAATGTGGGGGCTGACTTCAAGGTGGCGGCACAGATGTGGTTATGAAGAGAAGCAGATAGATGTGAGATATATTTTTGTACAGAACCAGTAAGAGTTGTGGATAGATTACTCTTAGGGGTTAAAAAAAGGGTGGCTCCTATGTTCTTGCCTTGAGCAACTGGGTAGAGATTTGTTTTGTCCAGAAAGAAACACTTTGGATGGGAAAAGCTGAAGTTCTATTTTGAACATGTTATATTTTTAGATGTTATAATGTGTATTAGGTCCTCAAAGATTTCAAACAGGAGTTGGATATTCAAATCCGGAGCTCAGAAGACAGGATGGGACTGCAGATACAAATTCAGGAGTCATAGATTATGGCTAGTATTTGTAGCAGTGGTCATTAATAACCCTGAGGGAGTAGAGAGAGAAATGAGAGAAAGGGACAAGGTCTGAGATAGTCAGACTTCTAAAAGTATAAATTGCATAGGAGAGAAGGGGCTAGCAATAGAAAGCAAGAAAGAATAGACATATCCTGAAAAAACATATACTACATACCCTGAAAAAATTGCCACTGTAAAATGCTTTATTGTCATTGAAATGTAGAATAAATCTTTTTAAAGACTTTTAAAATGCATGGTTAAGTTAGCAAAAAGTAAGGTAAATATCCAGAGGCCTAAACCATAATGTCCTCATTATGCTTGAGGTAAAGCAAAGAAGTAGTTTGGCTTAAGCTCAAAATTAATGGCTGGGATAAAGTGGGAATGATCCAATAGAAAGAGAAGAAATCATGGTGAAAGAGAGGGGAAAATTGTTAGAACAATATCCTTGTTTAGGCAAGAAGGAATGAGATCTAGTAAACAAATAGAGGGGTTGGCCTTAGATGGCAACACAGACACATTCTCTATTGAGAATTTTTGTAACTCAAAAAATTGCCAATTTCTTACTGTAACAGGAGTGTGGGCAGAATTTCTGGGCACAAGTCCAAGTAGATATGTAGATGTGGTGGAAGTTTATCAAAGTTATCTTTTAATTCCTCCACTTTTGTTAGTAAAATAAGAAACAGCATCATTATTTACAGGTAAAGATGGAGGTTTAAAGAGAAAAGAAAAGGTATGCAATAGTTTTTAAAAAAAATTTTATCGTGCGTTAGGTGAAAGTTTACAGCTCAAGTTAATTTCTCATTCAAAAATTTATACACATATTGTTTTGCGATATTGGTTGCAATCCCCACAATGTTACAGCACCCTTCCCCTTCCCACTCCAGGTTCCATGTGTCCATATGTCCACTTCCTGTCCCTTCCTGCCTTCTCGACTTGCTTTTGGACAGAAGTTGCCCATTTAGTCTCGTATATTTGATTAAACTAAGAAGCACATTCCTCACATGTGTCATTTTTTGTTTTATAGGCCTGTCTACTCTTTGTCTGAAAAGTGGGCTTCAGGAACAGTTTCAGTTCTGGGTTAGCAGAGCCTCAGAGAGCCATGGTTTTGAGGGTTCTTCCAGTCTCTGTCAGACCAGTAAGCTTGGTCTTTTTGTGAATTTTAATTCTTTTCTACATTTTTCTCCCGCTCTATCTGGGACTCTGTGTTGTGGTCCCTCTCAGAGCAGTCATTGGTGGTAGCTGGGCATCATCTAGTTCTTCTGGTCTCAAATTGGTGGAGTCTCTGGTTCATGTGGTCCTTTAGTCCTTTGGGCTAAAATTTTCCTTGCATCTTTGGTTTTCTTCAGTTTCCTTTGCTCCGGACAGGATGGGACCAATAGCTGTATCGTAGATGGCTACTCTCAAGCTTTTAAGACCCCAGATGCTGCTCACCAAAGTAGGATGTAGAACAGTTTCTTTATGAACTATGTTATGCAAATTGACCTAGATGTCCTCTGAGACTATGGTCCCCAGTCCCCAGCCTCAGCTACTTGGTCACTCAAAGTACTTGGACAGGTCTAGGAAATTTCTGTGCTTTTGCTTTGGACCAGTTGTGCATGACTTCCCCTATAGTGTGTGTAGTCCTTCCCTTCACCGAAGTTAACACTTGTCTACTATCTATTTAGTGATTTCCTCTCCCTCTCCCTCCTTACTCTTGTAACCATCAAAGAATGTATTTTGTGTGTGTGTGTGTGTGTGTAAACTTTTTGTTGGGTTTTATACAAGTGGACAATATTTGTCCTTTTGTGACTGACTTATTTCACTCAGCATAATGTGCTCCAGATTCATCCAAGCTGTGAGATGTTTCAAGGGTTCATCATTGTTCTTTATCATTGCATAGTATTCCGTTGTGTGTATATACCATAATTTGTTCACCCGTTCATCTATTGATGGGCATTTAGGTTGTTTCCATCTTTTTGCTATTGTGAATAATGCTGCAGTGAACATGGGTGTACATCTATCTATTCGTATGACAGCTCATATTTCTCTAGGATATATTCCTGGGAGTGGGATTGCTGGATCGTATGATATTTCTATTTCCAGCTTTTTTAAGAAAGCACCATATTGTTTTCCATAGTGGTTGTGCCATTTTACATTCCCACCAGCAGTGCATAAGAGTTCCAATTTCTTCACCAAAGAAGACATTTCAGGCAGCTAACAGACACGAGAGGAAGTACTCATAATCACTAGCCATTAGAGAAATTCAAATCAAAACTACAGTGAGATACCATTTCACCCCAACATCACTGGCACTAATTAAAAAAAATAAAATAACAAATGTTGAAGAGGCTGCAGGGGAGAGAGAAAGGCAAAAGACAATGATGAGTCTGTGAAACATCTCACAACATGGATGAGTCTGAAGGGTGTTATGCTGAGTGAAATAAGTCAATCACAAAATGACACATACTGTATGAGACCACTATTATAAAAACTCAGAAAAGGTTTACACACAAAAAGAAACAATCTTTGATGGTTACGAGGAGGGGAAAGTGGGAGGGAAAAACACTAAATAGACAATACGTAAGTGGTAACTTCGGTGAAGGGTAAGACAGTACACAATACTGGGGAAGCCAGCACAACTTGACAAGGCAAGGTCATGGAAGCTCCATAGACACATCCAAACTCCCTGAGGGACCAATTACTGGGCTGAGGGCTATGGTATGGGGACCATGGTCTCAGGGAACAACTAGCTCAATTGACGTAACAAATTTATAAAGAAACTGTTCTACATTCTTCTTTGGTGAGTAGCATCTGGTGTCTTAAAATCTTGCGAGCGGCCATCTAAGATATTCTTCTGGTCTAACTCCATCTGGAGCAAGGGAGAATGAAGAAAACCAAAGACACAAGGGAAAGATTAGTCCAAAGGACTAATGGACCACAACTACCACAGCCTCCACTAATCTGAGTCCAGTACAACTTGATGGTGCCTGGCTATCACCACCGACTGCTCTGATGGGGATCACAATAGAGGGTCCTGGACAGAGCTGGAGAAAAACAGAACAAACTTCTAACTCACAAAAAAAAAAAAAAAGAAAAAAAAAGACCAGACTTACTGGTCTGACAGAGACTGGAGAAACCCCAAGAGTATGGCCTCTGGACACCCATTTAACTCAGTAATGAAGTCATTCCTGAGGTTCACCCTTCAGCCTAAGATTAGACAGGCCCACAAAACAAAATGAGACTAAGTGGGCACACCAGCCCAGGGACAAGGACTAGAAGGCAGGAGGAGACAGGAAAGCTGGTAATAGGGAACCTGAAGTCGAGAAGTGGAGAGCGTTGATATGTTGTGGGGTTGGCAACCAGTGTCACCAAACGATATGTGTATTGTTTGATGAGAAATTACTTTGCTCTGTAAACCATCATCTAAAGTACAATAAAAAAATTTTTTTTTCTAATTCCAAATCATCTGAATAATAAAAAAAGAAAGAAAGAAAAGTTTACTCAGAGAAAGAAACAATCTTTGATGGTTATGAGGGAGGAGAGGGATGGGGAGGGAAAAACACTAGATAGTAGATAAGTGGTAACTCTGGTGAAGGGTAAGACAGTATCGTGTACTGTCCCTACAATACTGGGGAAGTCAATACAACTTGACTAATGCAAAGTCATAGAAGCTTCACAGACACATCTAAACTCCCTGAGGGACCAAGTACCTGGACTGAGGGCTGAGGACTATGGTCTCAGGGGACATCTAGCTCAATTGGCATAACATCGTTTATAAAGAAAATGTTCTACATCCTACTTTGGTGAGTAGCATCTGGGGTCTTAAAAGCCTGCAAGCAGCCATCTGAGATACATCTACTGGTCCCATTCTAGCTGGAGCAAGGGAGAATGAAGAAAACTAAAGACACAGGGAAAAGATTAGTCCAAAGAATTAATGGATCACAACTACCACAACCTCCACCAGACTGCATCCACCACAACTAGATGGTGCATGGCTACCACCACTGACTGCTCTGACAGAGATCACAATAGAGCGTCCCAGACAGAGCTGGAGAAAAATGTAGAACAAAATTCAAATTCACAAAAAAGAGACCAGACATGCAGGTCTGTCAGAGAATGGAGAAACACCCAGAGTATGGCACCCAGACACCCTTTTAATTCAGTACTGAAGTCACACCTGAGGTTCACCATTCAGCCAAAGATTAGGCAGTCCCGTAGGGCAAACAATAACACACGTGAGGAAAGTACTTCGTAGTTCAGTAATGTGTACAAGACTAAATGGGCACATACGCCCAAAAGTAAAGACAAAAAGAAGGGACAGGAAAACTGGACGAATGGAAACAGGGAACGGGTGGAGAAGAGTAGAATGTTGACACATCATGGGGTTGGCAACCAATGTCACAAAACAATTTGTGTATTAATTGTTTAATGAGATATTAATTTGCTTTATAAACTTTTACCTAAAGCACAATTTTAAAAAAGGAAAGGAAACTACAGCTGGAGAAGAGAGGCCTGGCAAAGAATTGATAAATGAACAGTAAATAGCCTAGCGAAAAGTAACATGGAGAAAGAGAGAAGATTATGTAGAAATTTCTTCTATGCTTCTAAAATGCCATCTTAGTTAGAAGAACGTAGACTTTTCTCATCCTAGAATTTCTTTGCTCAGATAAGAAATATCCCTTACACATAAATAAGAATGATACAAACGTCTGTTTCTTAATTAAAAAAAAAAAAAAAAGCATGGTGTTTTCACTCACCTCATATGCATGTGAAAGCTGGACTATGAGTAAGGAAGACCGAAGAATTGATGCCTTTGGATTGTGGTGTTGGTGAAGAATATTGAATATAAAATGGACTGTCAGAAGAATGAACAAATCTGTCTTGGAAGAAGTACAACCAGAATGCTCCTGAGAAGCAAGGTTGGTGAGACTACATCTCACATACTTTGGACATGTTACCAGGACGGACCAGTCCCTGGAGAAGGACATCAGGCTTGGGAAAGTAGAGGGCCAGTGAAAAAGAAGAAGACCCTCAACAAGATGGATTGACACAGTGGCTGCATCAGTGGGCTCAAGCATAACAACAATTGTGAGGATGGCACAAGACCGAGCAGTGTTTCATTCTATTGTACATAGGGTTGCTATGAGTCGGAACTGACTGGACAGCACATAACAATAGCAACAACATAAAAAATTTAAAAAAACTGGAATCTAGGCTTGGTTCTGCCAGTTGGTGGATAAGATGTGCCTCTCTTTTCTCATCTATAATGAGGACAGTGGACTTTCTGTGATCATGGAATGATCTTCGGCCTCAGAGAGACCATGATTCCAGGATATAGGGAACAGCATAAGGAAGGCAGTAATACCCGAAACCTGTAATCATTCATCCAGAAAAGTCCTTAGGTACTTTAAGTTGCAAGCCAGGAGCTTGGTTTAAAGTGTATTTTTTATTGTATATGCTAGAATAGGGTATTTCTGTGTTCTAACTCTGTCAAATCTGAATTATGAAAACCAGATTGCCTAAAGTCTGGAACACGATGATATTGACATTTTCCTATTTTAATCCTGCACCCTTCCTATAGCCAACCATGTTCGGGAGCTATTTTAGCAAAACTCTTTTCAGACTACCCAGATTTCAAGATTCACAATTGTAGGAGAAATTTCACATTTTAAACTATATCTCTTAATAAAAAATTAAAAAGTAAAAAGGGAAATATTTGTTTAAAAGGAAACGATTTCATGATTAAATGAGTTAATTCTCAAAAATAGTGAGCTAATGAGATG